AGAAAAACAAAAGACAGGATGAGAAATAAGAAAGGTGACAGGCAGAGAACTCCAGGGCAAGAATCAAAAAAGTCACATTGCAAAATAATGTGAACAGGACTAAGAGTGTTAAAAAGACAAACCTTGAGGCCTTGTGTCTTAACGTACGGAGCATTCTCGTTAAACCAGATAAATTAGTCACGTAAATAGATATAAACAGGTATTATGTATTTGGGATTACAGAGACATGGCTGTGGGTTGACCAGGGATAGGAACTGAACATCAAGTAGTGTTCAGTTTTTTGGAAGGACTGACAAAAAGAAAAAGGAAGTAGAGTAGCATTGATGGTTAAAGAGGAATTTAATGCAATAGTGAGGATGGCTATTATCTCCAGTGAAGTGGAATTTGTAACAGTAGAGCTTTGAAACACCAAGGAGCAGAAAACATAGGGGAATTTGCATATAGACCTCCAAACTGTGGTTGTAATGTTAGGGAAGGCATTAGCAGGAAATTAGAGGTACAAGTAATAAAGGTACGGCTGTAATTATATGTGACATTGATCTGTATATAGATTAGTCAAATCAAATCAGTAACAACACTGTACAGAAGGAATTTCTGGATGTGTACGGGATGGTTTTCTGGATCAATACATTGATGAACCAACTAAAGAACAGGCCATCCCAGATTGGGTATTGTGCAATAAGAAAGGAATAAAACGAGCCATGCAAGATCCTTTGGGAAGAATGACACTGAAATGGTAGAATTTTTCAATAGGATGGTAAGTGACATTTTTTAATTCTGAGCCTAGAAATCCTGAATCTAAATGAAAGAAACCACAGTTGTATGAAGCATGAGCTGGCTCTAATAATTTGGGGAACGTTTCTTAAAGGGATGTCAGTGGATAGGCAGTGGCAAGCCTTGAAAGAGAGCATTGATGAAATGCAAAATAAAACATGAAAGGTGGCCTGACCGGGTCTAACAAGATAAATTATTGATAGTATTAGATCCAAGGAGAGGGCAGACATATTAGCAATAAAGTGCAGCAAACATGAGGATTGGGAGCTATTTAGAGCTTGGCAAAAGAGGACAAAGGGATTGGTTAAGAGGGGAAGGTAGAGTGTGAGAGAAAGTTTGCAAGGAATATACAAACAGATGGTAAAAGCTTCTATATGTATGTGAAAAGAAAAAAGATTAGTGAAAATAAACAATTAGAAATGGAAAGTTATAATGGGGAACAACGAGATGACAGATCAGCTGAGTACAAATTTTGGTTCTGTCTTCACAAAGGAAGACACAACTAATGTCCTAAAAATGTTTGGTGTGCAGTGTCTAATGAGAGGGATGAAATTAGTTGGGCAAATTGATGGGATTAAAGGTCAATATACTCCAGGTCCTGATGGTTTACATCCCAGATGATTTAAGGAACTTGGCTCAGAAGTAGTGGATGCATTGTCGTTCATCCTTCAAGATTCTATAGACTCTGGCAACCCTCCAATCCATAGGAATTGATCCAATGTGGCCCCACTAATTTAAAAAAAAGGAGGTAGAGAGAAAATAGGGAAATATAGACCCATTCACCTGAAAATGCCAGAGTCTATTATAAAATATACAGGACATTTGTTTAGGCCACTTTTGAGATACTGCATTCAATTCTGGTCTCCCTGTTATAGGAAAGATGTTGTTAATCTTGAAAGAGTGCAGACAGGATTTACAAGAATGTTTCCAGGTTTGGATGGTTTGAGCTATAGAAAGAGGCTAAATAGGCTGCAGTTATTTGCCCTGGAGGATGGGAGGCTGGTGACCTGTTGGAGGTTTATAAAATCATGAGGGACATGGATGGGGTGAATAACCATGGTGTTTTTTTTTCCAGGGCAGGGGAGTCTAAAACTAGAGGCCATAGGTTTAAGGTGAGAGGGGAAAGATATAAAAGGGACCTAAGGGACACTTTTATTCATGCATGTGTGGAATAAGCTGCCAGAGGAAGTGGTGGAGGCTGATACAATTACAACATTTAAAAGGCATCAGGATGGATACATGAATAGGAAGGATTTACAGCAATATGGGCCAAATGCTGGCAAATGGGATTAGATTAAATTAGGATATCTGGTTGGCATAGATGAGTTGGACCAAAATGTCTGTTTCTATGCTGTACAGCTCTATGACTCTAAAAGGTCTAATTGCAGAGTACTTGGAAAACAGTGACAGACAGGATTGGAAAGCTTCAGTATGGAATTACGAAAGGGAAATCATGCTTGAAAACTCATGCTTGATGTTGATAAGGGGGAGCCAGTGGATGTAGTTTACTTGGACTTTCAGGAGGTTTTCGATAACATCCCGCATAAGAGATTAACATATAAAATTAAGGTGCATGGGATTGGGGTAATGAACTGACATGGATAGAGAACTAGCTGGCAGATAGGGAACAAGGAGTAGGGATGAACAGGTCAATTTTATATTAACGAGGCAGCTAAGTGCAGTTTTCAGATAACACAAAGTTAGGTGGGAGGGCAAACTGTGAGGAGGAAGCAAAGATACTTCATTGTGATTTGGACAAGTTGAGTGATTGGGCAAATGCATGACAGATGAAGTGTAGTGTGGACAAATGTGAGGTTATACACTTTTCGTGGCAAAAACATAAAGGGAGATTATTATCTGAATGGTGATAGATTGGGAAAGGGGTGATGCAATGAGACCTGGGTTTCCTTGTACCCCAGTCACTGAAAGTAAACATGGTAGGCATGGTAAGGATATACCGGATGACCCAGGGAGTTCACAACCAGGGGTCGCAGTCAAAGGATCCCAGTCAGGCCATTTACAAACGATGAGGAGAAATTTCTTCACCCAGAGAGTGGTAAGCCTGTGGAATTCTGTCCCAGTGAAAGCATCGATGTCAAAACATTAAATGTTTCCAAGTAGAAAATAGGTATAATTATTAGGGATAAAGGGTATGGGAGGAAGCAGGGAGCAGGAACTGAATGGGATGATCAGCCGTGATCATTCTGAATGGCGGAACAGGCTCAAAGGACAGAATGGCCTACACTTCCTACCTTCTGTGTTTCAATGGTGAGCCACCAATCACTGAATGACTTGCCATTTCTGGGGTTAGTTGAAAGTGAACCAGAGTGGTATCAGTCTGGAGTCACCCTGACTAGGTTAGCAGGTTTCCTTCTCTGAAGGACCTCGACGAATTCAAGATTAACTAACTAATTGAATTTAAATAGTCTTTGTATGCTGTGGTGGGACTTGAACTCATGTCTGTGCACTATTAGTCCTGTCCAATGAATTAGTAATCCTGTAATATTACCATTATGCTGCTATCCTCCTTATTAATAGCTGTGTACCAACCCTTGATAGACTCTGATGGAATAAAATATGAATTCTGTGAATATCCAGAGAATGTCATTTCACAAGTTACAAGAAAGAATAATCTCATTTTCAGGGTGATTGCAGGAGTTGCCTATCAGTCTTAAAAGATAACACACTGAAGTGGAGCACGCTCTGCAGGATGGTTTCAAAAACATACTTCTGACATTTGTCTACTTCCAGAGAAGTAGAAAATTATATGGACGCATCAACTGTTGACATCTGATTAGTTACACATTGATATCAAATTAGCTGCATACTGGTCCATAGGATGATCAAAATGGGAACATTCTGTAAAAAAGCAAAATCCGCATAAATGTTGAAGAAATTGCAACATTATTGCCTTATCCATAAATTTGTGCTTTAATGGAAGTAGTTAGTGTATGAGGCATTAGTGCAATTAATGCACTTCACAGACACAAGAGCCAAGTAAAGCTTCTTGAGATTATAGAAGGATGGTACCAGACTCCAGAATATATAAACAGCTGCTGCACTTAAGATTTTAGGCCTAATGACAAAAGGAAGATTATTGTTGAGAGCATATTCATTATATTAATGGTAGGCTTTATCTCTCTTTTACAGAAACTTGGTACAGATTATTTCTTGTTGGATTGCAATATTTTTGGTCCCAAATGTAGAGTTCTCTATGAATGCCTAAAATATTGGTATTTTGATCAATTATTATTTATTATTAATATACTAATTGCTGAAACACATGGTTAAGAAATATGGTATCAGACAATTGAAAAGGTCACCTATTCAGATCCTAGACTGTGCTAATTCTATCAGCATACCCTCATTATTAAACCAGTGAAATCTGCACTGACTCCATCACATTCAATCAGTGGATAACATAGGTAAACCCAATTCCTTTTGTAGGTGACTTGGCCACTGGTTTATGATCTCCCCGGCATCCAAACCTTCACTACAAGGATATGTGCAAACTAGATATGAAGATGCTGAACATTAGCAGTGACAACTGGGAGACAGTTGATGACAGCTGTGACTTCTGGGGCCTGGCTGTTTTGAAGGGTTTTGGAACATGAAGCGAAAAACCAATGTAGCTGAGAAGAGGACTCAGAAAAAAATCAAGGGCAGCAAAATATGCACCTTCTCAGCTCACTGTCACCTTCTGCAGCAGAAGGTATCATGTCAGAGCAGGACTCCGAAACCACACCAGGTGATACTTCACCCAGAATTGACCACCATGATGTCAACCATTGTCTTGACTGTCACCGTAATGTCACCATGAGACAAGTGGGGTGAGGAGGTCAGCTTTACATTGAAGAAAGAAATGAAGTTTTATATTTCTTTATCCACTGTGCACACTGAGCTGTTCAGATGCTTGGGTCTCAGGGTGGTGTCAGGGCTGTATTGTTGGGGTTAGCACCCATGGACTAAAGAGGAGAAATCAGCAGTTTTCCTTTGGAAGATATATATGCATATAACTTGGATTAGGACATGATTAGCCCAGATGGAATTGACTCTACAAAATAGTCTGTTTTACTTTCCATGCTTTAGATTACATTGCAAGAATTGCTAATGGAGTAAAATTACATTAGAGCTACTGGTGTATCAGTCACTGCCTCAGCACAGGACAATAGATTGGAGAGAAAGAGAGAAAATTAAAGAGACCTAAACTTATTTTCATTTTGCAGGTTGGGTTTGACATGACCAAAGAAGCAGCAAGGAAATGTTTTCAGAAAATTGGTCTCCAGCCTAATGATGTAGATGTCATTGAGCTTCATGATTGCTTCTCAGCTAATGAACTCATTACTTATGAAGCTCTTGGACTTTGTCCTGAAGGTAATTGTTGCTTTATTTAATTATTTCCTTGCATTCTGAATTAACTTGTGATGGTTCCATTGATGAGTTATTCCTCCCACAAACTAATGTGTCCCAAAGAAAAGGAGTTGTTAGCTGAATAAATTGTGATTGAAGGTTTATTAAGGAATATAATGTTGTCTGTTTACTAGGATATTATAACACCCATTTTATGGTTGTGAATTACAGATATCGATGTTATTTGAGCAGTTAATTCTTTTCTTGTTGATTCCTCACATATTTTCTTGATGTGTCTTAATTGATGTAGCCATATGTTGGTTGCCATCGTTGATAAATCAGAAGGATATTTTGCTTAGAACTGGCAAAATAGAGGTTTAGATTCATAATTTATGTAATGAAGAAGTTGTCTATCAATAGCAATACTAAGTGGAATTGGGGAGCAAATTACTGCAGATGCTGGAATCCGTACTGAAAATCAAAAAGTGCTGGAAATAACAGTGGATCAGACAGCATCCGTGGAGACAGAGCAAACTAATATTTCAAGCCTAGATTAGTCTTCATTAGTCTTACCACCTTGGTAACCATTAAAAAGGTGATCGGTTTGTTAATTGAAAAGGAAGAATGTGCCAACCTAGGTGGAGAAGGCAGAAGAATGGCACAAAGTGAAAGGCTCGTTTGGAGAGTTGGAGATTTGGAGATCTAGCAGTCATTCCTCACATTCACATCTGCCCTTGTATGTGGTGTGAAGAATTTGCCATTTCACTGATTTTACAGATTCTATAATCTCTTTATGAAGTATCTTTAACTTTTACCCCAACCCCAAGGTTATTGATTCAAAATCTGGATTGCCTCCACGAACACTAGCTCATGAATCACCTTTAGCCAAATTTTGACAACAATGGTGGCATTTTTTATATCTAAAATCTGCTTCTATTGGCTTTTTTGAATAGAATTATGAGTTTGCTCTTTTTCCTTGTATTCTGTTTATATGCACACATTACCCTGTGTTTGAAACTGTCTTGAAAAAATTTTAGGCATCCTGTGCAGACTTGAAGTGTAATTGCCATGCAATCTATTAATCTAAGTAGGTTCAAATTCTGTTTTAACTGCACTAACTAGTTGTTCCATTCATCCTTCTGTTGCTGAAAATCAGTAATTACCCTTTCTGTTTATATAATTTTCCATTTATAATTTTTCTGATTCTTCACTGGATAATTTACACCACATTGTATGGAACTGAACCACACAGAATAGGAATGTCCTAGTTTGATTCTGCGTTAACTAATAGTGGTGAGGCTGCAATAATTTGCTCGTCTTTCCTTGGCCAATGATGTAGAAAGTCAACCAGAGTTTGCATTCCTGATTTCTGATGAGCAACTTGAATTGGAGAAGGAATATATATGAAGATGTAGAAGGCAGGATTCCTTTTGGCTAAGAGGCTCCTACCTTCAAACAATGTGAAAACATTCATTTCATGTAAGAAAGCCCTTAAATTTGATCATTTGACTAATGTACTAGTGTGCCAGAGTGAATTACTATTTGTAGGAGACAAGAATAAGGAAAGAAATTTTAGATGGCTGTTCAAAAATACTTTTCAGATTCTACCAAAATTGAATCTGTGAAAATTAGAGATTTGTTAGAGTCACCAAAATGAAATATAAAAACAAAATGTCTGAATTTATATAGTTATTTATCAGTTATCTTTGTCTCCGAAAACATATTTCCCACATTAGTATGTTAATTTCTAATGCCTTTTGCTGACTGATGTTTGTTCTCCTAGGTAAAGCCGCAGAGTTGATTGACAAAGGAGATAATACATATGGTGGAAAATGGGTCATAAATCCAAGTGGTGGACTGATATCAAAAGGACATCCACTAGGTGCTACAGGTATTCCTATGTTTATATTCCACACATTGGCCTGCAATATTAATGCTGATTGACAGCAACTAACCTGAACAATATGCAAGAAGACAGGAAATAGAATACACCAGACCTAGCCTTCCAGCCATTTTAAAATGAACTGTAGAACAGAATTTGTAGGAGTATAGAAGCAGATCACAGCAGAGTAGGTAAATCCTGCACCCTAATTTGTTAATTTCAGCACAACGCAGCCTAATAATACAACTCAGCAATAAAATCTTGAACACATGTTATATGGTTCTCCCTTTATAGTACAAAATAATTTAATTAGTAAAAGGTCTACAATGTGTTAGGCTCCTTAGTACTATGAAGTCTTTTCTATTTTTATGTGAATGATTCTGTAGTACTGATAGCTGCAACTGAGCAACTAACTATAGAAGTAATTTAAAAATCATAGTTGTGATTTTAATTGATTCTGTAACTTGTTCTGAAGACTATATAGCCTCATAAAGCAGAAACAGTAGGTTAAATGCTGAAATCCAGACTTTGCTGCCAGTGATTCTGAAGTTCTCCACAGTGTTCTCTGACAAAGCTTTCCCAGTCTAAAATCAGGTTGACATCTCTGAATTAATGAGCTCTTGTGCTGCTAATCTCACTGATGTGGAGGTGCTGGTGTTAGACTGGGATGGACAAAGTCCGAAGTCACACGACACCAGGTTATCATCCAACAGATTTATTTGAAATCACAAGCTTTGGGAACACTGCTCCTTCATCAGGTGAAGTGGAGGGAAGCACACAGGCACAGAATTTATATGTATAGAGATAATGGCAAGATAATTCTAGGTAAGTAAGAGAGTCAAAAGATAAGTACAAATAGTGTGAGCAGAGTGTTGACAGGTTGAATATTGACACTCCCTAAACTTGTTAAAGAAACCATCCCCTATAGACAAGCACTGCGTGTATACAGGATCTGCTCAGATGAGAAGGAATATGATGGACATCTACAGATGCTGAAACGCACCCTCATAAGAACGGTATACAATGCTCAACTCATTGATCGCTAGTTCCGAAGTGCCACAGCGAAAAACCGCAACGGCCTCCTCAGAAGACAGACATGGAACACAACTGATAGAGTACCCTTCATCGTCAAGTACTTCCCCGGAATGGAGACACTATGCCATGTTCTTCGCAGCCTTCAACATGTCGTCGATGACAATGAACATCTTGCCAAAGCAGTCCCTATGCCTCTACTTCTTGCCTTCAAACAGTCACCTAACCTCAGACAGGCCATTGTTCGCAGCAAACTACCCAGCCTGCAGGAGAACAGCGACCACAACACCACACAATCTTCCACAGCAACCTCTGTGAGACATATCTGATCATCGACATGGAAACTACCATCACACGTGGGAGCACCACCCATCACAGTACGTACTCATGAGTTGGCCAACATTGGCTGAGCAACACTGAGCAACAATCGCTAGGCAGGAGTGTACCTTCTCAGTCGGAGAACACATCAGCAGTCAAGGACATTCAGCCTCCGATCTTTGGGTAAACATCCTCCAAGGCAGCCTTTGAGATACACAACAATACAGAGTCGCCAAGAAGAAACTGATAGCCAAGCTCCGTACCCATGAGGATGGCCTCAACTGTGGTCTTGAGTTCATGTCGTGATACATGGAACCCCACCATACTGTTCTATGTAAAATCTTCCTTAGTGTTCTTTTTGACACCGTTACTTTGATAACTTAGTATCTCTCTACCTTAATTATTTTGTACAGTTTTAGATTACTTGTTACTTTGTTTAGACCCTCATCATGCGACTGTTTTACCTATCATGTTATTCCAGCCATTTGGTGTGTCTCTAGCACTGTCTTATTTTTGATTTCTTTGCAACTATCTCTCTGCCTTAATTAATCGGATCATAAATCGTCCCTTCACTTGCTATTCAGCCTTTGACACTTTACTCTTTTGATAGTATTGATCACCTGCAAAGACTTGTTATTCAGCCTGTCGACACTCCACTCGCACTATTTGTATTTGTTTTCTGACGTTCTTAATTACCTGGAATTATCTTGCCATTATCTCTCTGCATATAAATTCTGTGCCTGTGCACTTCCCAGCACATCACCTGATGAAGGAGCAGTGCTCCGAAAGCTTGTGATTTCAAATAAACCTGTTAGACTGTAACTTAGTGTCCTATGAATTCTGAGTTTGCTCATCTCACTTTTTAAAAAAATCTTGAAAAAGTTGCACAATATTGAATGAGTTGTAATTGGGCTTTTCATCCACTAATTCATAATTACTGCTAAGAAGCTTCATTGTCCCTGGGAAATTAATTCTACATTTGTGGAATGTCAAATTTCTCTATTATTATGATTAAACATTTTCAATTTTTATGATATTTCATCCTATGTTATTGTGATATTTCATCCTAACTCTCTCTGCACAGTCCAATCAGTTGTTTCATTCTCCATAAATGAAACTAAAGTGAACAATATTACTTAATCTACTCTACATCCTAGTTTGCTGTTGGTAAGAATTCTTCAATGTGATTCACTGCTTGCCTGTTTAACAGCAACATTGCCATTGCCAGATGACTAGTGATCCTATTGACTTGACACCAGTTTCAAACTAGCAATAGTAAAGAGAAAATCCATGCCAAAGAACTTTGTGGGTATCTTACTTTGAGACTTTGCCACTGACTGCAATATCTGGGCCATTATCCATGAGCATCCTGCACATTACATTATCAGACGAAGTTGATGGTAATCTACCATGAATATTACAGATTACTGCATGTCATTGGCTGATGGAATGCAATGTGGTAACTGGTTGTGCACAGAATCATTGGAATTTCCATCACCTCCCAAGTTGCCCAAAATCCTGACTTGGATGTGTATTGATTCTCGTTGGCTTGGTATTCTGGAATTGACTATCCAACACCATTGTGGATGTATTGTCCACACAGGACAGCAGTGATTTATGGAGAAGAGCCACGATTAATATCTAATGGCAGTTAGAATGAGTAAAAATGTGCACCTCCACTGACACTCTAACTGTCTCTTAGCGAAATAATAAGTGCCTATTGATTTATTTTTCTTCAAAAAAAGTGTTCTTGAACCTTTTTCAAATTACTGAATGTTGCCACCAATTGACCAGGCACTATGAACAGTTGTATCTGTGCACTTGGCTCACACGGCAACTGCTGACACATGTGCCGTTTCTGTCCCAGCTGATATCACTGGTGTGGACCAGTTGGTTGATGCCAATGCTTGTTTATGCCTGTTGCTGTCGCTTGATCACCCGCTCTCTGGTGCGTCATGTCTGCTGCTGGGCTGCGCCCTCACCACACAGTGTTCCCATCTCTCGCTATTGTGGGATGCAATCTTTTCTAGTCTAGGGACAACTCAGTAAGCTTTTTAGTAGAAGACAGGAGAGATCAGTTTTAGATTGTAGTTTTTCTTAAACTGTCTTTTGCACATGTGAGCAAACCTGTTTCTTGATTGTTAAATGCTGTTTAGAAAATTTTGCCCTGTTCAGGAATGGATTGAGTAAATGATCATGGAGCTGATGCAGCATGTTTTATACTAATAGAAATCTGCCAACCTTTCCTCATAACATAAGATTACTTGTTTATATAAGCTGATAAACAGGTCAGTCAGTATTTATTTGTGTGAGTGGATGAAATTTAATGCCCCTTACCTCCTGTTGAGGTCTTGTTGCCTTCATGACTTCCTCTTGCTTAAGTCAAGTGCAGTGAAAGTCATGGCTGACCTTCCCACTCACATGTCTTTTGAGGCCCTTGTGGCCAATTAAGGGCCAATGCAGGGATTCCTCCAGCAGCAGACGGGCAGTGCCCATGCTACATAGCAAGGCTACCTGGTGCAGCCTGGTTGTTTCCCTGAACAGTTGGTGGTAGCCTGTACTCTACACAGAGCCCCTCCCACAACAATGGCCGTCCTGCTGTAGGGCTCACTGCGTCCTAGCAATGACCATCACTTTCTGACACTGCTGTGACTGAAGAGCCCTCTGACTGACAGCTCTTGGAGTTGAGCTCTTCACCTTTAATGATCTGCAAATCATGGAGCTCGATATTAGAATGTGTGATAGGATTTAATCCTGCTATGGCCCCCAGAAATGGTTGTAGTGGTGTTGCTTCAAGCCAATGGATGAGGCCATTGCTGCAGCCATTAAATTCAGCCTTATATATGCTTAGGGTAAGTGCACCCTGATAGGGATAACTCCTTGTTTGAAGCACTAATTGTGAATAGGTCTCTTGATAACATACAGCCTTACACCAGTTCTTACATCAAACAAAACTTCAGGTTGAGAGTTCAATAACACTCAAAATACCCCAAATTATTATAATCCAATAATTATAAAGGAAGATTTATTAACAAATATTACTGGTGTCACTTAAAATATTATCTGTTCCAATTGATCTTCTATGGCATTAAGTTTGAGATAAATTAAAAGGTAACATTGCAGTTTCTTTACTTTCTTTTTTCTCTCTCCTTTCTCGCACCCTTGCTCTCTCTTCCCCTCAATAATTTTCCTCTGTTCTTTTACCCTTTTTTACTTATTTGTAACTCTCTAGCTGTGACTCCTCACTCTCCTTGTGTCCACAATTCCACATGTTCTGTCAATGGTCTTTTGAGTTTGGAGTTTTGCCTCAGATTCTGCTTGAAGTTACTCCATTTATGGAATTTTATGATGAAAGGAACAATAGCCTTTTATGTTGCTGTGTTTCATGTCAGGTTTTGTAAACATTTGCACCATAAATTGGCAGTTGCAAACTCAGTGTTAGCTTTTAATGTTCTCATGTTTTGTTTTTTACTAAGACATAAGAATAATGCTCCAAAAAAGAAATATTAGCTAAAAACAAATACAGTGTCGGAAATACTCAGCAGGTTAGGCAGCATCTATACAGAGAAGAGTTAAAATTTCACATTAAGGTAACTTTTTATTTTGTTTCAATTGCAAACATCCTCCTACTCCCTGCCCCGTATTTTAATTTTGAAGAA